ACATCCTTTCTAACACCTTTGCTTAGACTTTAGCCGGGAAGCTCAGTAAGGTAATGCCCAGAATATTAGAGCACTCCATATCGTTTTTCTTCTTGAATAGTGGTACTTAACCCCAGTAGTCCTTCCAGTTTGACGGACATGCGTAAGTATTTATATGCCTTGTTCACCTGATGCTTTAGGCATTTCAAAGTGGATTAGATCGATTAGAGCAGCCTTGCTAGTTTTTAAGTTTTCTGTGACTTCACCTGCTGAAAGACTAATATCCGCTGCCTGCTCCAGGCTAGTCTTCGTAGCTGCTCAATGTTAACCAGTTCTTCAGAGTCCTCTCCATCTCTAAGGTAGGTCCTCATCCTTGGTAAGAAGCGTGAGAAGGTTCCTTACTTTTAGACTTTCTTTTCATCTCGGAATCGGCACATAGTCTGCCAGAATACCTTCTCACGCCTAGTTTGCCGTTTGGTATTTCGACTCCATCACAGCATACTTTTTCCAGGAATTGGCTTTCGCTTTGGCCCATACTTTCGCTACCTTCTTGCCAGTTTTTAATATGGCATTCGAGTTGAAGGCACTTGTCTTTCAAGCCATTTCTCGAATGCAGCCTTCTCGGTTGTAGCCAATTAAACCTCTCGTGTTCAGCTGGAAGTTTGTTTCTGACCTCCAGGCGGCTGGCCAATGCATTTGAATTCGCATAACAGCATTCCGAGGCAGCCTCGAGTATGCCGCTTTTAAGGAGCAGCTACTTCGTTTCCACACCAGTGGTCATCACCGGGATCTGTTCAAACTATCGTGCGATGTTTGCAAATTTCTTCCTCGTATCCACCGTTTTCCATTTGATTTTCTGGTTGCTTCGGACACCAGATCTTCGCGTGGTACTCCATTTCTTACATCGTAGCGCGCCAACAACCAGGTAGTGATCGGTTGACAGTTCTGCGCCTCTTTTAGCGAATGCATCCGTTACAGAGCGTCGCAAGACGATACAGTTGTCAAATCGATCATGGATTTCTGTACACAAACTTCCCTGTTCTTGGTATAGTGATGTT